AACTTTTCTGATTAAAAACTTTATTTAATTTAATAGATTCACCCAATGAATTTCATTTTACCTGACACATATTCAAAGTGCATAATCTGTTATAGAAGGGATGAGTCATTCAGCCTCAGTCCACATACCATTAGTAAAAATAAATAAGCGAGAACTCAGCTAACAAAGTACATCTCTTTTGTTACTCCGTGGGCAGTTCCCCGAACCAATCGACGCGCTAGAATAAAACTAGAAAGTGTTTTAGCTGTTATATGATGAGTTATGTAGTAGAAATGGTTTATTTTAACTACGTAAGTATGTAAGAACAAAAATGCTAAAAAAACGGATGTTAATTTTAAGGAGCAAACACACATAAAAAGTGGCGCTAAAAAACACGAATCAAAATTATTTTTTTTCTGAATTTCCCTATTCCAAATTTTATGCTAAGTTAATATAAAATTAGTTCTAAGCCTTTTGATATAAAAATGACCCTGTATCTCTGAGCCTGTCAAAAGGTCATACTTTTCATATGACTCGTTCTGAAACGAAGAAGCAGAGACCACACAAAGTATCAAGTATACAGGAGAAATACAAAAGATATATAAAACAGCACTTATTTGAATTTCTGTTCATCCTCGTGAAACCGATGTTCGTTAGTTCAGAAACGATAAATCATAAAAACAAGTAAATTTCTATTTCTATTTCTATTCTAGTTTCTATTCTTCTAAACAAGTAAATAAATAAAGAATAAATCATAAAGAAACGCAGAGTAAAAAAACATAAGATGCAAATTATAAACCTAAATAAAATGTAATAACTAAAAATGGATCATATTACGTACGTAGAACAAAGTATCTCAAGCCTAATAATCATGCTTACAGCGTTCTAAACATATTACTTCCAACTTCATACTTAACGCATACGGTATGTTTTTCATATATCTCTTACCGTTTTCCATAACATTTTTGCATTTTTTCTGACCTTTCTGGTATTTCGCTTAAGTGGTTGGATTCCCTTAATCGGTGACCACATATATATGTCCGTCACATCAATATTTTTTCGGTGCTGCGCAGCTCCATCTAGCACTCTATTGATCTATTGGATAAATATTGACCAATAGTAGGTATCTGAACAGACGTACACGCACACACACACACACACTGAGAGGGATTTGAAGGTTGCAAGACTCTCCGGTCCGGTAGGGGAAACAGTTGTCAAACCTCCAATAACACCTAAGATATCATCTAAATACTACATGTAATCAAGTTGAGTGTTGTTAAATTGCTATACGGTTCTTGCACATAGAAAAGGAAACATTCTTTCCCTCTGTCTTTTTCTCAAAGTATTGCTGTAATCTTGTTTGATTGTAACATGTTTGATTTGTATATAATAGTACTAATTAGCAAAAGAGTATGTATAGTTCACAGATTGTTGGTGGAAAAAATGAAATAAATTTGCCTGAACTGATAATAAGCCATTTGATTGTGTTGTTTCACGTATTAATTGTAATGAATGTTTACATGTATTTGTGGTTGATGATATAAATAATTGAATAAATGAATTAATTGTTGCTTGAAATAATTTTTAATTAGTTAATTTATGTATTCAGTTGAATAATAGATCAATAGACTATCTTGCATTGCTTTATTTGTAGATTCACAAAATGTTGTCAACTTCTATGTAATACAAATATCATATTCAGAATCAGGATCAAAAACTGAGTCGACTGATGTGTATCTACAACTCATTCGAGCAGTTGGATCTTTTTAAATTAAATTACTCTTGACTCCTTGAATTCTTATATTTTCTTAATCAAGATGGTACTGAAAACATTCGAGAAGGCAAAAGCTTGGTTACAAGAAGTTTCACTAGAATTCTAATTAAAAATAAAAAAAAACAGTTGCTTTAAAAGATATGTGGAGAAATAAATAAATGTAGTTTTTTTCTTATTTTGTTGTCGCACAAGGGCGCGATTACCAGTTTTTTCTGTGTAATTTACTGTATGATGTAAAGAAAACACTGCGGTTTTGAAAGGCGTGTTTTATTCTCGAGGGTACCGCCGAAAATATGACTTCTCTAAGAGACCTTTAGATGAAGTATTTCCGTTAATAATAATTTAAGTCCGTCAACAGCAGAAGAAAAAAGGTTATTATGTGTTAGTGACCGTTGATTTAACAAATAAAAATATTTCCAATTAACTGCTTTGTAGTTATTAATGACACGCTCTGTTGATAATGATGGATTATATAAAGACTTATTAAAGCAAAATTTAATGGTAGCATGATTACAACTACCACATAGTTGATCTAGGACTTCAACCGACTGTATGATATCTAAATTGTTAATTATAACTAAGTCTAAGCAGAGAGAATAGAAACCGTTTGTACAATAATGATCGGTGAGCTAAAGACACCGAAAGTGTGTATTAATAATAATATTAATAATTCCCCTCTTCATTCCACATCTAGTTTTTGATTAGTCAACGAAATTCAGGCATTGTCCGATTTCATTAGACAATCACTTCTGTCCTTTAAATAATAGCCATTGCTATAAGTAAATGCTCCTGTAGAAGCTGCTAAGTTTGTTGAACGAATGACGCTCATTGTTGTTCTATTCATTTGAACAACATTACCACGATAACCAAGTACAACAAAATAATTTTGATCATCAATAGCCATAAATGTTGGACTAGGTGAGATTATTGTTGTTTGATTTGATGCTTTAATTATTGACATTAACCATGTTATATTTGATGCATTTGG